CAACTCCTACAGACCTGCCCTGATCTAAATTGATCCCTACAGACCTATACCTAGTGATCCTAGACATAACCAACCCCTAAACCAACCCGTTTTAGTCAAATCCCAACTAATCAGACCTAACCGGTCAATATACCGGACTCTATGACTCAAACCTGGCACTTAGGAGTCATATCTAGTCCTAAACTAGATAATACCTAAGTCTACAATCAGATACTAATCTGATCAGACCTAGACAATGTCTCTATAGACATTCTAAACTCTAATCAGACCTAACCAAGTCTATTTTTGACCTAATTACCTACTGATCAGACCTAGACTAAGCTAGACTAATCCAAATTTGGCTAAACCAGACCTAATCAAGACCTAAACAGCACTTACAGACCTATATCAGACCTAAACTAGTCTATTACAGATCTATACCAGCTTATTTAAGCCTAACCCGACCTCTTACCCAGCTAAACGTAGTCAAATCCACCTATTCAGACCTATACTGAACAGAAAGAACCGGAATCTATGACCCACATCAGCTAAACCGAGATCTAAACAGGTCTAACCCTAGTGAATTTCACTAAACCCAGCCAAATTGGATACTAGACAGTCCTAACAGGGTAACCCGATCACTACAGACCCTATCATACCCTAAATCAGTCCACTATGCCCTAAATCAGATACCATCAGACCTAATTTGAGCTAACCTAACCCTAAATCAGTTAGTTCTAGTCCTAATTGTACACTCCAGACCCTAAAACAGATCTAATCTAGTCCTAACCACGAATTCAGACCCTAACATGATCAATACAAGTCCTAAACAGATAAACCAGACCTAAATCAGACCTATTCCAGCCTATACCTAGTCTGATTTACCTAGACCGAACCTACCCTAACATGATCAATACAAGTCCTAAACAGATAAACCAGACCTAAATCAGACCTATTCCAGCCTATACCTAGTCTGATTTACCTAGACCGAACCTTATTGATCTAAACCCGGACAATTCTAGCCTTAACCGGACAAAACAGACCTACATCAGACCTATATCAAGTCTAAACCGGCCTACATTGACCTCTACCCGACTTAATTGCCCTAAACCAGCCTGAACTAGCCAGAACCGAACAAATCAGATCCTAAATTAGACCTAACCCAGCCTAACCTAGCCTGAATTGACCAAAACCGGACCTAGATTGACCTAAACCAGACTCAATTGACCTAAACCGGACTCAATTGGCCTAAACCGGACCTGGAATGACCTAAACCGGACTCAATCAACCTAAACCGGACCTGACTGACCTAAACCGGACTCAATCGATCTAAACCGGACCTGGACTGACCTAAACCGGACCTGGACTGACCTAAACCGGACCCAATTGTCCTAAACCGGACCTAATTGACCTAAACCGGACCTAATTGTCCTAAACCGGACCTAGATTGACCTGAACCGGACTGAACCGGTCCAATTGACCCCAAACCGGACCTGAACCGGCCCAATTGACCTGAACCGGTCCGGTTTGACCTAACCGGTCAACTGTTGACCAATTTTGGTCAATGGTTTGACCTGACCGACCTAAACCGGTTCGATTGAAAAATTGAACCGGGTTTAATTACTCAATCGGATTTAAACCGGCTAAACCGGTTTAAACCGAAAACCCTAATTTCGGAATGCGGAAGCCGCCGAGTCACCCGAGTCAACCCGGTGGTTGACTCACCCCGATTCTCCGACTCAGCCGCGCCGCGGCGAGTCACGGCCAATTTCGCCGGAAAATCGCCGGTTCTCCACCGGTTTTCACCCAGAAACCCTAGATCTAACCGCACACAGGCACAACTTACCTCCTCGGGCTCTGAACTCGGCTGATTGACTCAGCTCGAGTTAGATCCGAGACTTACCGATCTTCGTCCCACCGGTCTGAGCTCCGTCACAGGATCTTTCACCGCCGATCTGACCTTCTGACCTTCGCTCTCTCTGTTCCGAGCCCTGAAACACTCGAAAGAAACATCAGAACGCTCAGATCTAAAACCACCGAGACTCAGACTTACCTGGATGACCGAGACGCCGCCGAAATCCACCGAATCGCGCTTCGACCAGGCCTCTGATACCACTTGTAGTGGATTATCGACTAGATCCTCACCGATTCTCTCCGACTCACGCTCGTGTGCAAGATCGAAAGAAGAAGACGACACAGAGAAGTTACGAGTTCAGCACCGAGCATAAAGCTCGGGCCTACGTCTCGGGAAGAGGAAGCCGCGTTTAGTAGCTAGGGTTACAACAGACCAGAACCGCCGGACACCGTAGAACGGCGCCGGAGAACCGAGCGGAGCTCGCCGGAACGAGAGACAGACTCTCGGCCGTAAAACACGAAGAAGCGTTCGAATTAGAGAGACGAAACGAAACCTAGGGTTACATTAAACAAGTCCCGAAAAGACAGAAATGCCCCTCCGTCTAATTGAGACCCTCTGATTCGTCGGGAGGTTTCGAGAGCCTCCGCTTCCAATAGCGGATTTGCTGAAAACTTCACAAATATATATATGTGTAAAGTGATAATGATGATATCCAACATAGATTCATGTATATGGATGATTTGGCTGTTTACGAATCTTGGGTTTGTATACAATCACCAAATGATTATACCTTAGAACTGAAGCAAGAGTAGAGGCACAGAGGTTCAATGAAATTTCCAATAAAAATGTTTGATTGATTGATACGTACCCGAGAAAGATGCTGTTTCAAAAGCTTCAATGTGTTTATATTTGCCCCCAAATATGGGTGCAGTTGACACGCTTCGATATTGTTACATAGTAATAATTGTTCCTTTTTTTTAATACGATTTATTTAATTATAAAAAACCAAATAACCTCGACCGATGCAATAACATGTAGGCTCTCATTGCTAGTTTTGTTGGGGAAAGGGGAATGAGTTTTGGTTACTTGCTAATTTCTATGATAGAATTCGTTCTTATTTGTAAGCACAAGTTGTATTATCTTCCTAATGTTTTTCTTTCCATTTTCTCTTTAAAAATTTACTTTTATTACGAATATTTTTTTTAAAAAAAGATAACTTTACAAGTGCATATATATATACATATATATATATATATGTGAAAAGGTCGATTGGGGTGGAAGTAAATACATGCAGACGCGCTTCTTTCTTTTTCACCTTGCTTGAAACCCAACCAGCTTTTCTCCTTATCCAAAAAAAATTCCCTAATTAATTCTATTAATTTATATCATATACATGTACTTATTAATGTATATGTATGTATAAATACCTATCTTGTGCACTGCAATCCTCACTCGGTTATATCACACATCTCTTCCCTAATCCCGTTTCAAATTAATATTTCAAATTTTAAGCACAAACCAAACAATGGAGAGCCACGTCAAAAGTATTCTTCTCTACGTCCACATCGTTATTACAACGACGATGTTAACTCTGTCAAGACATTCTCATGCAACAAAACAGTTAAACGTCTTGAGTTTCGGCGCTAAACATAACGGCGTTGTGGACTCGGCTCAAGCTTTTGCCAATGCTTGGGCTGCTGCTTGCGGATCGGCCGAGTCAGCCGTTATTTACGTACCCAAAGGACGGTATCTCGTCGGTCCAATCCGTTTCAACGGTGAAGGCTGCAAAAGCGTAAATATTGTTATGAGGATTGATGGTACTTTGGTGGGTTCGGAAGATTATAGGTTTCTTGGGAAAGAAGAAACCTGGCTCGGCTTTGAACGAGTGAGTGATGTCTCAGTCATAGGTGGTTTCCTCGACGCCAAGGGACCATCGTTGTGGTCTTGCAAGGCCGGCAAAGGCGTTAAATGTCCTGAAGGTGCCACGGTACGATATAAATCCCGGAATCTCTTCAAGTAATGTTTAAAGAAATATATGAGGTCTAGGGTTTTGATTCCTAGGGTTTCAGGGAAATAATAAGATCTAGGGTTTGATGACAGCTCTTGAATAAAAAACAAATGCATAAAGCAATCAGAAGTGTTAAGTTTCTATACATTCATTCCGAGAATATATAATAGAAATGGCTATTTACAACAAAAATTATCACATCATTGTCTTTCAAATCGTTCCATTACACAATTTCTGACTCTATATATGTTTTTGTTTTCATGTGTTAAACAATTTAGACGCTGAGTTTCGTGGACTCGAGCCGAATAACCGTGAAGGGTGTAATGTCATTGAACAGCCAAATGTTTCACATCGTCGTTAACCGATGCCGAAACGTGAGAATCGAAGATGTACGAATCGTAGCCCCGGGAGAAAGTCCTAACACGGATGGAATTCACGTTCAGCTATCGTCGGAAATCGAAATCCGAAACGCTTCGATCAAAACCGGCGACGATTGTATCTCCATAGGGCCTGGTACGAAGAATTTGTGGGTCGAACGCATCACTTGTGGGCCTGGTCATGGAATCAGGTACGTGAGAATTCAATAATTGTATATATTCACTGAACATATATATATATATATATATATGTATTACATAATTCATTTTATTGTCACATGTTATAAACATTAGGAATTCATTTTATTATCACATGTTATAAACATTAGGGTTTCTTCTTTTTTAATCTATTAAATCACATGAACCTATCAAAATCTCAAATAAATACATGAACTTTAAAATTCTTAACTAAATACATAAACTCTTCTTAATTCTTATATTTAACCTGAACTTTTGAAAAACAATAAAAATAAATTATAAACTTTTAAATTATTGACAGAAACCGCTATGAAATCAAACCCTAACTTTTAAACTATTCCCAAATACTAGGGTGGTCATTTCGGTTATTAACCGAATACGAGCCGAACCGAACCGAATAAGATATAACTGTACCTGAATCGAATCCGACATCAAAACCGAACGGTTATGATTTCTTTAAATCCGAAAAAACCGAAATCGAACCGAACCGAATAAAAAATAACCGAGAAAACCGAGAAAAAAATTGACAATTTCTTTGAAAAACTGAACTTTTTGCCGAACCCGAACTGGAATTTATATAAAAACCGAATGGTTAAGGTTTTTCTATAACCGAAATAACTGCACTCAAATATAACCGAACCAAATCCGAACCGAAACCCGAATTGGCCACCCCTACCAAATACCACCATGATATGGTGCATTTATCTAAGATTTTTTGTAAGTTTGTGTATTAATATGTGATTTTCCTTTAAAACAATGGTTCTAGTATGTGTATATATAAAGATTAAAATAATGTAATGTTCTTGTTGAATCGAATCAAATTAACGGATATTTTGCAGCATTGGGAGCTTGGGAAAAGATCTAGAGGAAGAAGGATTTCAGAACGTGACAGTGAAGAAGACAGTGTTCATAGGAACAGACAATGGTCTGAGGATAAAATCATGGGCTAAACCGAGTTCCGGTTTTGTTCAGACCGTCCGGTTCTTGGACTCGATCATGCGTAATGTCAAGTCTCCTCTCAGTATATATATATATATATATATATATATATATATATATATAAAACACAAAAACACGTGTCAAAAACAACGAAATTCTCTTACCAATCTCCACAACACATCAATGTCTTGCAAAAGGATCAGGTTGGTTCTGGTCTGTCGGAGATGGGGGGGGGGAATCAAGAACGCAAGATTACGTTTTTTGGTACATATTACAGGGAAAATAAATACATTTGAAACGCCGGTCTGCGTTTACGTATCCGCGTTTGCATCCAACCGCAGTTTAGAGTAAATGTGCCGATCCTAGTCGGCGTTTCATCTCCTAACAGCGTTTCAGCAGCCGAACAATATTGGGCCATTGAGGCCCAATATAATCTCAAACAGAAGATCCAGGCCCAAAAAAACTTCATCACGGTTCCACATTTCCACCGAAGAACCATTGAAACTCTGAAGAGTGACACAGGGATCGATCGATTCGCAGAGAGAGAGGAGGATCGAGACACAGATCCGCGACTATGGGGTTGGGGTTGTTAGCGTCGAGAACTCTCCGACCTGCTTCTCGCCTCCTTCATCATCCGCAGAACCCTAGTTTCCTCCTCCGCTCCATTGTCTCCAAACCCGAGCTCCAATCCCCTGAATCCGCAGCAGCAGCGGCTCAGCCGGAGCCGACGCCGGATTTCCCGCCCAGGAAGCCCGTAGGCGGTGCGCAAGTCCATTTCCCTAATCCTGAAGATGCGATCGAAGTTTTCGTTGATGGGTACCCGGTCAAAATCCCTAAAGGGTTCACGGTTCTTCAGGCTTGCGAAGTCGCGGGAGTCGACATCCCCAGGTTTTGTTACCATTCTCGGTTGTCGATCGCCGGAAACTGCCGTATGTGCCTTGTTGAGGTCGAGAAGTCGCCGAAGCCTGTCGCGTCGTGTGCCATGCCCGCACTTCCCGGTTAGTTCAGTGAAGTTCCATTTCAGTTTTCTTAATGGATTTTGAGAAGTTATTGGGTTGTTTGATGGGATTCGACGGAGGTTTTGGGTTACTCCGATATATTTTGTTGATGTTAGAAAAATTTGGGATTTGGAGCTATGTTAGATATCTGCTATTTCTAGATTTATTGACTATACGTGAAATGGGATATAATGGAGTGTCGGCTGATATTTCATGGCATATTTGTTTGTTACCCATTAACATATGATTAGGCGTGAAGATGATGATGACGATAACGAGAGAGAGAGCTTTAGAGCTTTTAGGGCAATTGGCACATTATGAAATTGTTATCCTTTGTTGCATCTTATTACCCTTTGTTCAGCTCCGGATCCTGTACTCTTACCTGAACTGGTGCTGAATTTTGTGCATATGCAAGTAGATTTTGCTTCACCGGCCAGTAAGATTCTTTTAACTCTTGGTTTTTGGAGTCTGTTCATACGGCGTATCAGCTTCTCTTCCCCATTGTTTTTGATGATTTTATAACATACTTCATAATATTTTGCTCTTTTTTCTTCAGCTTTGAAGTGTAATTTTGAAGGATTCTCTGGAATTTATTGCCTTTTGTCTGCTTTAGTTTTGATTCGTGATATCGAGTGTTGTTTTTCATGCAGCTCTTTCTTACGATTGCAGCTGCATGAGTCCGATTGTTTGCTTCAGCGGTAATGTAGTGTAGTGCTCGACTTATCGGCGTCTTTGTCTAACAGGGATGAAGATCAAAACTGACACACCGGTGGCAAAGAAGGCGAGAGAAGGAGTGATGGAATTTCTGCTGATGAATCACCCTTTGGATTGCCCAATTTGTGACCAGGGAGGAGAATGTGATCTTCAGGATCAGTCTATGGCTTTTGGATCCGACAGAGGCCGCTTTACCGAGATGAAAAGATCCGTTGTCGATAAAAATCTCGGTCCTCTTGTTAAGACGGTTATGACTCGGTGTATTCAATGTACAAGGTTACAAACCTGATAGTTAGCTTTACATATGAACGAATCAGTGATTTTTCCATATCTAAACCATGAGAGAATATTTTGTAAAGTATCCTATTAACCAAAGTTTGTTTCTTTTCTTTTTTTTTTGGTTTCATGTACATATCACAGGTGTGTAAGATTTGCTACAGAAGTTGCTGGTGTTCAGGATCTTGGAATGTTAGGCCGTGGTAGCGGAGAAGAGATCGGAACTTATGTTGAAAAGCTTATGACCAGTGAACTTTCGGGTAATGTTATTGACATCTGTCCCGTTGGTGCCCTAACCTCAAAGCCCTTTGCCTTTAAAGCTCGAAACTGGGAGTTGAAAGGCACAGAAACCATTGATGTTAATGATGCCGTTGGATCCAACATCCGGGTTGACAGTCGAGGTCCCGAGGTCATGCGTATCGTTCCTCGGCTCAACGAGGTATATATACTCCTTGATTATGGTCGTGATAAATAGTTCACTCGAATTTATGCCATCCATTGACATTGCATGTAAAGCCTGTGTGCTTCTCCCGTCACAGGATATTAACGAGGAATGGATATCTGACAAAACTCGGTTCTGTTATGATGGCCTGAAAAGGCAAAGGCTGAGTGACCCGATGATTCGGGACGTGGATGGAAGATTCAAGGCAGTGAACTGGCGTGATGCCTTGGCTGTTGTGGCGGGTATAGCTCATCAAGTCAAGCCCGATGAGATCGTTGGCATAGCGGGTCAGCTTTCGGATGCGGAATCCATGATGGCATTGAAGGATTTTGTTAACAGAATGGGATCGAACAATGTCTGGTGTGAAGGAAATGGTGTTGGCCTCGATGCTGATCTTAGGTACAGATATCTTATGAACACTGGCATCAATGGACTCGAGAACGCAGATCTCTTCCTTCTCGTCGGCACCCAGGTGAGTTTTCTCTCGTATTGTATCGGTTTCCAGTGAGGTAGGCATGGTTTGGGTATCCGAGATAATTTTTCGAGTATCTTCGGTTACCTGAACCTGATTTTAAATACAATATTTTAACCTGATTTTAAATACAATATTTTAAACTTTTTCAAATATATAGCATATAGTAGGAGTTGGATTATCCAAAATTTCCGGGTTATCCAAATCCAAACCCGAAATTTTAAAAGATTTCAATAGGTTTTTAAAATTCGGGTTTTTTTTGCCCGCTCTAGTTTCCTCGCGCAGGATGTATCTCCTTAAGACTATACAGAAGTTGGAATACCGATTTTAACGTCTCTCCTTTTGGTTATTCCTCAGCCGAGAGTTGAAGCTGCAATGGTGAACGCAAGAATCCGTAAGACAGTCCGTGCATCGAACGCCAAGGTTGCTTACATCGGCCCACCCGCAGATTTCAACTACGATTGTAAACACCTCGGTACTGGCCCCGAGACCCTCGAGGAAATCGTTTCGGGCCGTCATCCCTTCTGCTCCGCCCTCAAGAATGCCAAAAACCCGGCTATTCTCCTTGGTTCCGGTCTCTTCACCAGACCCGATAGAGAAGCGATACTCTCCGCCGTCGAATCCATCGCACAATCCAACAACGTCGTCCGACCAGACTGGAACGGGCTCAACTTCCTCCTCCTTTATGCTGCCCAAGCCGCTGCTCTCGACCTCGGCCTCATTCAAATGTCCGAGAAAGCCCTCGAGTCAGCGAAATTCATCTATTTGATGGGAACAGACGACGTGGACATCGGGAAGATCCCGGAAGACGCATTCGTGGTCTACCAAGGTCACCACGGGGACAACGCTGTATACCGAGCGAACGTGATCCTCCCTGCAACAGCGTTCACCGAGAAAGAAGGAACATACGAGAACACCGAGGGCTGCGCCCAGCAGACGGTTCCCGCCGTCCCGACAGTCGGGGACGCCAGGGACGACTGGAAGATCATCAGGGCTCTATCCGAAATCGTGGGCGTGAAGCTTCCGTACGAGTCGCTTGACGGAATCAGGGCAAGGATCGAGACCGTGGCTCCGAACCTGGTGAGGGTAGACGAGCGGGAGCCGTCGGGGTTCGGGCCAGGGTTGAAACCAGAGTGCAAGGAGAAGACGATGAGGTCGAAGCCGTTCGAGCCAGTGGTCGAGAACTTTTACATGACGAACTCAGTCACGAGAGCGTCTAAGATCATGGCTCAGTGCAGTGCCTTGCTCCTGAAGAAATGAGCCCCCCTAAAAAACACTTTGCTAATTTTTTTATTCGATCAGAAAATAAAAGGTACGGATTCTGCTTTGCTTTCATCACTGTGTTTGCAATAAACTTAACTAGTTTTTTTTTCTTTCTTTTTGGTTTGAAATGCAATGCAAAATCTCTAACGTTTTAATGTATAACCATTGGACCGTTGAAACACCTTCATAAGAGAATGCGAAGTTCCATTTAAATGATTTTCCTAGTGCTAAATTAAAAAATGTTTGAAAAAATGGGGAGAACATCTTTTTTTTAAAAAAAAAATGGATATACAAATAGAAGAAATATAATTGAATAATACCGATAAATATAAATCTCTAAACCAAATTACGGAATATTAATTCCCAAAGTAATAGTAGAGTTGATGACGTCATTTTTTTCCAACCAGGCATGATGATTAACGAAGTTTATAAAAAAAAGAATACAATAGTACTAAAATAATTAGTATAAATTATGAAGCTTTGAACGCATGATTACCAAAATTCTGTATCAATAACTCTCTATCTAGGGTAACTTCCATTCTAATGGTTTCAATCGCGCAATCGTTGGTTGAATGAATGTAATTAAATTAAATTAAAATATATATTTGTAACCATAACAAACGGTTGAACCAAAATCAAAACCCGAAGATATTTTTATTTTTATTTTTTATTATGGCGAGTTACAATAAATGATTGCACGGAAGTGCTTTGGGGAGAAACAAAGACAACTCAGAAAACGTGTGCGTTGTTGGCCTCTCGGCCATCAAAGATCACATAATCCATGCTTCACCAGTCCCTGTCGGACCACCACCCAATTTCTCTCTCCCTTTCTATTTCTTGAAATTTACACATTTCTCTCTTTTGTTACTATTTTTTATTGGCTTGAATTGTATTTTATTCATTATTTTTCTCGGTGATCACAGGATATTTTTATTTATATTTTTTTAATTTTCAAATTAGTCATTTATAAAGTTCGTCGGTTCTTTAAATTGAAGCTATGATTATCTTTCGAATTTTTTTAAAATAAAATTATAATATCTATTTTTGCTTAAAAAAATGAAATCTAATAGAATATCTTGATTCACTTATTGTATTTTATTCACCCAAAACAGTTCATTGATTACAAAAAAAAAAAAGGAAAAAGAAATTGGAAACGGCCGAATGATCCAAAGAATCACTAAAATAAGGAAAAAAGAGCATCATTGTCTCTTCATTTTGATTTCATGCCAAAGGGGGTATGAACGGAATCTCTAGCTTCATGGCAAATAGATTTTATATGAGAAAAAGGAAATTGAAAAGGAAAACAGAGAGAATTCTGAAACAAATATAAAGAACATAAAATGATTTTAATAGAACAATATAAATTACCATTGAAAAAGAAAATGTGCATTAATTATTTTTAATATAATTTTAACATATTCGTAAGGGTCAAAGAAATAATGCGCTCGAAGATGAAGATGAAGATGAAGATGATGGTGGTGTCGATGTCAATTACAATTGGAGTTTCCATTGCCATCCCTATTCCATGCAACTTGTGATGGGTCTTGCAAGTTTTCGACACCTCATGGAAAATGATGTGATTAAATAAGATAGTGGATGTGTTATTATTATTATTTATTTTATTATTAGATTATCAAAAGTATTGGGTTAAAATCGGTTCGAATATACGAGTCGATCTTTGATCAAATCATATAAGTGGATGTTTTTTTGGTGTTAGGTAAAAAAAATACATGGGTTTGCGGGATTTGTTTTATACAAAATTATTAGTGATATATATATATATATATATATATAGTTAAAATAATTACCTTTTAAACCAGTTATAAAACAAATCACAACTGAGAAGAGAAACAACAAAATTTTAATAGTAATATTTTGACTCCAAAAATATAGTATTAATCCGGAATAATATGATGTGATTCAATATATATATATATATATATATATATATAATTGAACGTGGACTTACAAAAAAAAAATCGTCCGTTTCATTGCAAACAAAATAAGAACCTTTCATCGGTTGTATTTTTCGCACCAATAAATGTAACGTAATTGGAAAGATAAGGGAAAATCCATCAAATAAATACGACCGCAGAGAAACTAATGACCACACACGTTAAAAATATAAACGCGTAACCACAAAAATTAAAAATAAAATAAAAGTGAGACATATTAAAAATAAAATGATTTTCGCACATTTCACTAAACTCCATAATTATTTTCTTTTTTGTTTTTTGGAACAAGAAAAGAGAAACCGCGTCTCGCTCATCTGTGTCATCTTCTCTTTGGTCTCCCCGCCGTTGATGTGTCCAGTGCTACGTGGCTTTGTTTAATTTACTACTTTTTATTTTTATTTTAAATTTCGCTTTTAATAAACGATTGTGTCTGATTATAAATTATTTTTGAGAAAAAAATATTTATAATTCGTATTAAAACGCATAAAAGCATATCGGAATTGGAAAGTGGATATCTTCAAACCTATTTTTAATCGTTGGGACAATGTAACCATAATTTCAACATCTTCGACTGTATTATAAATGGATGAATCAGCGTATATATAATTTATGCAAATTTTGATTTCAAAATTTCAAATCTGGATAACGCGAATATAATTATACCAAAAAAATCATAGTTTGTTTGTCCGAAAATATCATATTTACATACTAAAATACAAAATTTTTTCCATCATACTATTTAGTATTTGTTGTCGATAATATATAATTTGTTTTTTTCGCATCAACACATTATTTATTATTTATAATAGAAAATTGCTTAAACTAACATAAGTTAGACGGTATGATGGAAACAAGTGACCAATACTTAAATAATATGCTAAATACTTGATCAGTTAGGTTCTGGAAATGAACAAAAATAATGTTGGTTATTGAAAATAATATTATATAATCGATTAAATAATTAATATCTTTTTTTTAATAAATAGATTTTCTGGATGTCCCTCCCTCAGACACACACACATGTACATACGCATCTACATATATGTGCCCCCGTGTGTGTATATATAAACACACATACCCTTCACTGCAACTGACCTCCCCATATCTTTCATTCTCTCTTCACTCTGAGAAAATGTATCCACTAATCACGAAACCTTTCTTCTCCTTCTTCTTCTTCATGCTCTGCAACTCACTGTCTCTCTCATCTTCTTTCTCTCTCCACGTCCCTCTCACCTCTCTCCGCCTGTCTCCGACCAACTCCTCCGCCTACGAAACCTCTCTTGTCTCAGGCCAAAACCCTCGCCGGAGAACAACTCCGCAGCCGTCGTCTCCGTACAGTTTCCGGTCAGACTTCAAATACTCGATGGCTCTCATCGTGTCTCTCCCCATCGGAACTCCTCCACAGACCCAACAGATGGTTCTCGACACCGGGAGCCAACTCTCATGGATCCAGTGCCACCGGAAACAGAGACCAGCTCCGCCGCCTCCGACAACCTCGTTCGATCCGTCGCTGTCTTCGTCCTTCTCCGTTTTGCCGTGTTCTCATCCACTCTGCAAACCACGAATTCCCGATTTCACCCTCCCCACGTCCTGCGACTCCAACCGCCTCTGCCACTACTCCTACTTCTACGCCGATGGGACCTTCGCCGAGGGCAATCTCGTCAGAGAAAAATTCACCTTCTCAAATACCCAAAGTACCCCTCCTTTGATCCTCGGTTGCGCCACTGAGTCCAGCGACGACAGGGGTATTTTGGGAATGAACCATGGACGTCTCTCCTTCATCTCTCAGGCAAAGATATCCAAGTTCTCATACTGTATCCCGACTAGGTCGTCGACCCGACCCGGATCCGAGCCAACCGGGTCGTTTTACCTGGGCGATAACCCGAACTCTCGTGCGTTCAAGTACGTGTCGCTGTTGACTTTTCCTCAAAGTCAACGCATGCCGAACCTAGACCCACTTGCTTACACTGTTCCAATGCAAGGGATCAGAATCGGACCGAAGAAACTGAACATATCGGCTTCGGTTTTCCGGCCAGACGCAGGCGGGTCGGGTCAAACCATGGTCGACTCGGGATCCGAGTTCACTTATTTAGTCGACGAAGCTTACGACAGAGTGAGGGAAGAGATCGTGAGGCTTGTGGGGCCCATGTTAAAGAGGGCTTACGTGTACGGTGGGTCTGCTGACATGTGTTTTGTCGGAAACCCGATTCAGATCGGACGGTCCATAGGCGATCTCACCTTTGAATTCGGGAGAAACGCTGAGATCCTCGTGGAGAAAGAGAGGGTTTTGACCCACGTTGGAGGTGGGGTCCACTGTCTCGCAATCGGACGGTCGAGCATGCTTGGAGCAGCAAGCAATATAATCGGTAACGTTCATCAGCAGAATCTCTGGGTTGAGTTCGATGTGACCAATAGGAGAGTGGGTTTTGGTAAGGCCGATTGCAGCAGATCAATTTAGGAACATTCAGATATCGCCACGTGTAATGATCTAAAAGAATGATCGGACGGTGTATATCAGTTTTGATGTAGGGACTGTGGGTCCCAAAAGGACATAGGTTCTTAAAGCAGATGTGCAGGGGCATTAATGTAATATTAATCAAGAAGGGTCACGTATATATTAACTCGGTGTACCACCACCACCTGTATATTAATTATGTGGTCAATATATCTTGTTACAAATATCTAAATAATAATATCATTTTGCTTTTTAAAAAAACTACTGTTGTAAATAAAATGAGAATTTCAGTCTGCTTTTTGTTGAAAGATTTATGTATGTCAATGATAGATTTTAGGGTCCACGTCGATTGATTATGAAATTTGAAAAAGCAAAAATTAATTTTCGAAAAAAAGAATATAGGGATGAAAAAACAATATAAAGATGAAATACAAATATAAGAATCGCACCAGCCATAAACTATATAAAAGTTGTATAATTAAAAAAAATAAAGTGTATTTAGTCTTCTAACCTAAGTTTCCATCTCGTAGGCCATTGTGTAACAAAAATGATAACCTTAACATTTAAAAATAAAGAAAATCGACCGACTATAAAATATTATCTGATATTTTTATTCTTTTATGAAATATTTAATATGTTTTTTTAGTAACTTGTTGAATACATGTACGTGTTTGTAAGGACAATCCAATGGATCTTCAACAACATTTTTTTTTGAAGTCTGAGGAGTTCTATGATATATGAGTACGAGACCAAATAGTCTATGATTTTGTTATTCAAATGATTAATATTGTCTCAATAGCTGTTTGGTATATATATATATATATATGTATGTTCGTAGACGATATAATAAAAAAATTTATCCAATTCAAAATAAACATTTTAATATTCCATTGATTTTCAAATTTCATATTTTGGTACGGTTTTGTCATATCAGTCTGCCAACCACTTTAAACAATTCGTATGCATGAGTTCATAAATTAGGATTGGCCAAATTTACCCGAAAATCAGGTATCAATGGATATATATTCATTTTCATTCAAATACGAATTTATAAATATTCACAAATTCAAATCTGGGTAATAAAATTTTACAAAACGGATAAATATGGATACTTGACTAATTTTATTATAAATAATTATACCTTACACCTTTATAATATTTTTATAAAATATAATTATTTTAAATTAAATCATTTCTCATTTTTCAACATTAACTAAAAACAATTAAACTTATTCTTATTTATCTATCACTATCTCTGTTTATCTCAATTTTTTACCTCATTATCAATCTTTATAATTACAATGTTTTTTTAATCTCCTACATAAATGTTGTTATATTTAATAAATCTGAATTCGGATATTCACGAATACCCATTCATTACTTCAGATAATCGTAACTCTTGAATCCGAATACAAATCTCAAAATGAGATATTCGAACCTTTCATATGCAAATCTAAATATCCCGATTTTTTCAGATATCCGACGCGTATTCACTTTAAATTCATATAATATTAATATTCTGATTATCCGAATACAATACCATATAATCATATAACAAAATAATAATTTTGAAACAAAATTCATTCGAATCTGAATTAACTTCAGACTATATATAAAAAAACAAAATAATTTAATAAAAATACAATCCTTTTTAAGATATAGGTATCCTTCTAATCGTATAATCGTAATCGAGTTTAAACCTAAGAGAGTTCAAATAAAAAAACTGGTATACAACCGAATTAATATTATTTTCAAAATTACAAAATAATTGGATCCAGAAATTATAAAATCAAAATATAATCAAATTTTAAGATAGAGATAATATGTTTATATATTTATATATATATTTGATTATACAAGTTGCATAACTTGTTTGCAATGGAATCCTTAATTGTCCAAAAAAAAAGTGGGAATACAAACAAACCGACTGGGTTTTGTATTTTCTTTATTGTAACAAGACAAACCGAAATCGGCATCACATGATACAAGATTTCACAAATTAATTTGAATTATTCAGAATTTTTATATATTAAAAAATAAGGAAAATAGGGAAAGAGATGATAAATCCGTGAGATGTAACAAAAAAACACATGAAGCAAATAAAGAAGACAGTGACGTCACACAATGATGAATTTGAGCAGAAAAACAAATCAATTACCATTCGGACACGGCATTTGTCGTTTTTCACTTTTATTTTTTTTTGTCTGCAAACTCCAAAAACTCACTTTTTTTAAAAAAATATAACAAAATTAAGAACGGGCAAAATCAAAAAATTAATAATGAATAAATCCAAAGTTGTCATCTTTCGGCTTCTACTTTTCTTTCCCATGAATCAACCCGTTTGTTAGATTAACATTAATTATTATTTTACTTTTTCGTCTTCTAATTTATTTTCAATTAAATTAATTTAAATGCGATGGGATATAAATATATGCAGGGTGGATATATTCACTAAATCAATAAAAAGATATTAATTTTGATTTTAAAATCAAACTAATTAAACAAAAACAACTATAAAATAATTAGAAACGTAGACGTAAAATGGATTTCTTTTATTTTTATGATATCTTTTGAATGAATATTTGAAATAAATGTTGATTTGATATAATTTTTAATTAAAAATTTTTAATTAAAAAATAATGAAGTGAAGCAAAACGAAATTTTAAATATCGTTTTTTCTTTTAATTACCATAAATGATTAGCCAAATTTCAGTAAAGAAGTCATATTTATTCCTTGACAAGAAAATGGAGCATAGCCATCTAAAGAAATGGTTTAGTTCAAATCCATTATAAGTAAATTCGAGGGCAACTGATTTTACGAAGTTTTGTTTATTTAGTTAAGAAATTTTGTTTAGGGTTTCATTTAACATTTCATAAAAAAAACATTTCATTCTGCATGCATGCATACATACAACATACATACATACATACATACATACATACATACATACATACATACATACATACATACATACATGCATACATGCATGAAAACCGAAGTTTTTTTAAATTTTTTTTTGAAATTTGAATCATATGATGGAGCCGAAAATGGGCCCAAAGCTGAGGAGATTAAAGGATTGTCCGAGTAGCCGACAGCTTAGTTCCAATTCTTCCGACGGTCGAAGCTTTGGATTTTGTATTCTCACATTCCCGACAATCTCCAATACATCTATATTCGTATCAATTAATTAAAGATTGTTTGTTTCTTGTTTTTTGTTTTTTGTTTTTTGATCATTGTGTTGATTACAGTTTTCGTATAATTTTTTATTTTTATTTCCACATCTCAAACAGCCAAGAGGGTAAAACCCCACGTGTCGGCTTTTCTTATCATTATTTAATTATATATCGCTTTGTGTAAACTAAACACGAAGGCCCACTCCTCTTAGTTGGCATAATCATTGTAAATCAAGTGTTTATTAAAAACAAAAGTTGACTTGTTTTAATCATATGCTTTCAGATTACCAGAAGTAAAGCATTAAACTTTAAAAAAAGCTTAAGATACGATTATATTATAAAATTAAACTGGTTGTATTTATATGCTATCGCAATCCAATTCGAATTCTATCTGGAGCAATTTTGCATTCGACTTTAACTTAATAAATATTTTTTTAAAAATATTTTGTTTCTGATTGCCGATTATTTTTACATTCAATTCAAATTTATTTAATTTAATCTAAAAATAACGTTTAAACAGTTTTGAGATAATATTCGATTATATTTTATTAAGTTCAGTTGGGTTACATATATAATAAGTGAAAAATATTTGAGGTTGACTCACAATTTGGACTGTATTTGAATTTTCTAAAGAAAAAAAAAAGAAATGAATTAAATAGCAATTTATATGGAATAGTGGTAGCAAGAGATGGAAACGAACAAATGGAACAGCTGGAAAAGAGAAAAGAAAAATAAAGGAAAGCGAGAGAGGTCAATAAATTTTCTCGAGAAACAAACACGCACGCCCTTTGAAACTTCACTTCAATCCAAAAAAAAGCTTGAAAACGACTTTATTAGATCATGCATGTATATATATATATGTATATGAATGTGTGTGTGTGTATATATATATATATGTGTTGTGTGGAGATTTGTCCGTCACGTTTGAATATAAGCATGCATGCATGCATGTATGGTTTTCATGCAAGTTTACAGCTGGTAATTAATTAATTAATTAATTAAGCCCACTTTAATCGCCAAAAGCTGGTGAGCTTTTTTCTCTGGTTAGTTGGCGTTCGAGGTTTATATATATAAATATATTACACATAGTACATATATATATGATTTGACTTTGGCAGCCCAAAACATACATTAAGTGGATCAACCATAGGTTCAAGTGTCAATTGCAATAATCGAGTGATCACTAACTTATCGTTGAAGTATTGAAAATTATTATTGTGGGGATTTAAATTAATGACAGCATTAAAATGATTTTTTAAAAATTTTTATAATATTTTTATTCATGTTTTTACAATATCTCTATATAATTTCTTTATTATTATTCCTGTTGAATAAAAAAATATATGTTATAAATAGATTACATTAATAGGTAATATTATAATAATATAATTGGAATTCTATAGAATAAAAATCTAACCACATCCAAATATTTAATTAAATTCTTCAATATTTATTAACTAATCTCTAGCAGCATAATTTACTAGTTGATAAAAAAATATATAAAAAAATGAACGGGAAATAACTACGATATATTTCGGTCCCTTCTTTATCTGAGTTAACTCTCTCTAGAGTTAAATTATATGACGCATCTTTCATATTAGCGGATCCTTTTATTTACAAAATAAAATAAAAGAATAAAAAAAAGATAATTTTATTTTCGAAATTAAGGGGGGCAATGGAAGAAGAAAAAGTCACAATTTGCATGGCCCTCCTAATGAAAGTAATTTCTTTTAAATAATATTTTACGATTCGTATTGACCAATTGATACGTTGGACCGTCACATTGTTTCTTTAGGCCATGCGCTTCGTGTAAACTAAAGTGGTGTGCATAGTGCCCCAAAAAAGAATGTTCCTTTTTTTTTAATATTTTATTTTCTTTCAACTAATTTTATTAGCCATTTATATTATTTTACTCTTTGGACCCACCGAGATGGGTTTCTGCTTCTAGTATTTTTTTTTCAATGCTAATAAACATTAATACAATTAAAATGGAAGAAATAAAATTGTAGCCAATTGTAACTAGGAGTGGAAGGAAAGAAAAATAAGTGTATGTATATATGCATGTATACATGTATGTATGTATACATGCATGTATATATATATATATATCCACCAAAGAGTAGTTTAGTGGTCAATTTGATAGTGCAATGCACTTTTAAAGTTGGGTGTTCAACTCCACTGGGCAGGTGGCGTAATTTTTGGGTCAATAAGATTCATATATAAAGACTGATTTCAGGCTGGAGATTTATCTAGTCAGTATATCCGAATGATAGTAGTTAAAGTGTTCCGTTGTAAAAAAAAAATGTATGTATGTATGTATGTAAACTTTAGTTCAAAGTTCAAACCTACCAACCCACTACGCATCAAATGACATTAGAGGGCCCATCACTATGAACTTTTTTACTGTATCGAATATTTGGTACCGGCAATTCAATACGAATTCAAGATTCTGTATGCATGTTCTCATTGAATTTCTGAAAGCAAGTTTCAATCAACATGCATGTGTTCGGCTACATATATATATGTATGTATTTAATGCCAGATGTATGTGTGCATGTGTGTATATATATATATATATGTGTGTTCATATACATCACAAAGCTGATTATGCTTTCGTAAGAGCGCAGAACTAAGGTTACATCTTTAATTATTCGGATAATTACTTAATAATTTTAGATTCCACAAATGAGATTGAATTTTAGTTTACGGTATCCAATTATAAAAATGATACGAAGATATGTAATAACCTATGCAATTTTATATTGCACATCAATATATGATTCCAATACTACTAGTCTATATCCATCTATAATTAGGCATATAAACATAATATATATATATATATATATATATATATATATATATGCGTACATATATATATATAGTTCCAATACTGATAATCTAAATCCATCCACACAGTTTATGATTGAGCATAGAAATACATGATATATATATATATATACACACACACGAATATGTACGATCATAATACTTGCAAGCTAATTCCCTCCATAAACATAATTTATTTATGATTAGGCATACAAACACATAATATACAGGCGTGTGTGTATTTATAGTCCAAATATTTTATATTTCGTGCGCTGTTTGATATGAAACATATATAAGCCCAATAATAATATTTGTGCCACAAAAATCAATCGGAAATATAATGAATGGACTGCACATGCTATGTGGGCTTCACCAAAACCCAAAGGAACTAGCGAAAGTTTGGATTAAAATGTCACTTAATTTGATTGTACTAAAAAAGATATCACATTCTTTCATTATCTAAAATTCTATTCTCAACAAAATATTTATCACCATGGATTACAAGACAAAATAGTGGTTTCACATATAAGCATTAGAAATTTTTTTCCAAGGATTATAATATAGTTCCAAGTTCCAACGTGTATCATTAAGCTTTACATTACAAGAAAAACTGAAATTTGCGACACCTGTTGCGACCGAACTTTCAGTCGCAACTAAATTTGCGACAGACCGCGACTAAAAAGCGACACAATCTCGGAAAAATATTTCTGTCGGACTTGGACGCAAAATCTGTCGCAAATTTCCGACCGTTTGCGACCGTTATCTCTGTCGCACGTATTTGCGACAGAAATACGACGGAAAACGACAGATAATTTACGACAGATGGTCTGTCGGTATGTACCGACACAGTATGCGACAGATATGTTCGGTCGGGCTACGTGTACGACACATTTGCGACAGATGTTATGCGTCGCGGATATAATGCGACCGATATGCGACACACTGTAGGAGTCGCTCAATATTTGCGACTGACTTGCGACTCACGGATGTGTCGCAAAATTAGGTACACACGTGAATGGTATGTCACCTAACTTTTGTCGCAATGTTGTCGCATTTCGATCGCAATTCATTTTACGACAGAATATATCTGTCGCAATTCCGTCGCAACGTCCCTCCATATATCGCCCGCGCGATGAGGATGCATAGATAGGAAAAAAAAAGTGTTAACGAAAAAAAAAATACTTACAAAAAAATGTCTTTTTCATCCAGAATGTGGATGTATAATAGATTTGATTCTTCTAATCAAATCTCGAGTGAGTTTGCTGAAGGATTACAACATTTTATGGCGTTTGCAACAAGTCAAACGTCGTACATTGAGAGTTCGAAGTTACCATGTCCGTGCTCAAAATGCGAGAATAAAAGATGGCGAAGTCAGTATGAAGTGTGTAAGCACCTTTATAGAAGAGGTTTTATGTCAAACTATTATGTTTGGTTGGCTCATGGAGAAACGTATGATACGTCGTCATCATCACGTGTTTCACAAATGCAAGAACAACTTGTGGAAAACACGTCGCTACCTCCGATCTTTCAAGAAGATCAAGACCGAAATCTATATGCAGAGATGGTGAATGATGCATTTCCCAACGTTGCTCCTTCTCCATATATGGAAGAAGAGCCAAATGTTGAAGCGAAAAGATTTTATGATATGCTTAACACGGCGAACACTCCGATATAATGAGGAAATATCATTCTTTACCTCATATTATTTTGAAGATAATGTGCCAACAAAAAGCAGAAGTATAAGAAAATCATCCCATTGCGATGATGGTCCTACTTATCCGACGAATGCAAATATTCCCCATATATTTGACAGAAAAGGAAGATGTGGTGGTAAGGCCAGCGATGCCTACTTATCTGAAAAAGACTATCATGTGGTACATACTTTTGTATTGTTGAATTGCGAAGAAGTACTACCTTTTGAAAGGTTCGTTTATACATTTAATTATTTATGGCGTACAATTTTTTTACATTAATTCATTTACAAGTTTTTTACATTTTATTTTGCAGGATTTTTGATGAACAAGTATACAACATGTATGGTGACGTAAATGACGAGGAATTGACCAAAATTAAAGAAAAAGGGTTTGCTACGTGGTTAAAAGAATATGTAAGAATTTTTCATCAAATTTCTTTTTTATACCCATTTTTAAGATCGATCAAGTATATATTGATATTTAAACAACCTATTTTTTCTTTGTTTTGCAGATTCGAACGTCACCAGAAGATCATCCATTGTGGTTGCATGAGCTAGTTCAAGGGCCCATTTGTCGTGTTACATGTTGGCCTATATTTTTTACCAGAGGCTACGTTTTCCACACACATGAACACGGACAACATCGTTCGACACATAATTTTGGTGTTTCTGTGAAAGGGTCAGAGGATGGAGAAATGCATCATCCATCCGATGGTTTAGCATGGAAACACTTTCAACAGGTATTTCCTGATTTTGCAAGTGAGACTAGAAACGTATATCTAGTATTATGCATGGATGGATTTAATCCATTTGGGATGTCTGGTCCAAATTATTCTCTATGGCCGGTGATTTTAACACCCTACAATTTACCTCCGAACATGTGTATGAATAGAGAATTTTTATTTCTCTAAACATCCTAGGAGGAGTTTGGATATTTTCCTTCAACCGTTGATAGAAGAGTTGAAAGACCTTTGGAGTATTGGGGTTGAGGCATATGACGTGTCAATAAAGCAAAATTTTTTGCTTCGTGCGGTGCTGATGTGGACAATTAGTGATTTTCCAGCATACTCGATGTTGTCTGGTTGGACAACGCATGGTCGGTTAGCTTGTCCGTACTGTATGGATGAGACCGACGCATTTTGGTTGCCGAACGGGAGAAAAACGAGTTGGTTTGATTGTCATCGTCGTTTCTTACCAAGGAATCATGCATTGCGCCGAAACAAGAAGAATTTTCGTAAGAATCGTGTTGTAAGTGATTCTAGTCCGCTCGAACTGACGGGAGATGAAATATTATTCGAACGGATTGATGATTGTGTGAGATCATATGGGTTAGGGGTTACTGCAGAAGTCGGTGGAAATGGTCATTTGCCGATTGAAGGATATGGCGAATATCATAATTGGCACAAAAAAAGTATATTTTGGGAATTGCCATATTGGAGACATCACAAGTTGCGACACAATCTTGATGTCATGCATATCGAGAAGAACTTTTTCGATAACATCATAAACACGGTGTTGAATGTACCTCAAAAGTCGAAGGACAATCCAAACTAAAGGAAGGATATAAAATTAATTTGTTTGAGGAAGGAGTTGGAACTTACAGAAGATGGGAAGGCACCGGTTCCAGTTTTTCGTGTATTTGGAGAAGCGCAGAAAATTTTTTTTCAGTGGTTGAAGGATGATGTGAAATTCTCCGATGGTTACTCTTCAAATCTGGCGCGATGTGTTGATATTGCAGGGAATAAATTAACGGGTATGAAAAGTCATGATTGTCATGTCTTTATGCAACGATTGCTTCCAATAGCATTTGCAGAACTACTTCCACAACATGTACACGAGAGTCTATCAGGTATGTCAATATATTTTTTTAATGTTGTTTTTTAATATGTGAACTATATATATATAAAGTTGATACGTGGTTATTGTGCAGGGATCAGCTCATTTTTTCGGGTGATTTGCAGTCGGACGCTTAAACTTGAAGATATCACCATGCTGAAACAAAACATAGTTCTCGTAATTTGCAATCTGGAAAAAATATTTCCACCGTCATTTTTTGATGTGATGGAACATTTACCAATCCATCTACCACGAGAAGCAGAACTTGGTGGACCAGTTCAATTTCGGTACGTTATAATTAATTACTGTGTTTCGTTTAATTAATATATAAGACATATATATGCATACTTGTTTACATAACTGATGATTGTTTAATTTTTTTTAGGTGGATGTACCCGTTTGAAAGATTTATGTACCATTTGAAGAAAAAGGCAAAACAAAAAGCCTTTGTTGAAGGATCAATTGCTGAACAGTAACCATTTGTCGTGTTACATGTTGGCCTATATTTTTTACCAGAGGCTACGTTTTCCACACACATGAACACGGACAACATCGTTCGACACATAGTTTTGGTGTTTCTGTGAAAGGGTCAGAGTACTGTGCATCTGATAACGAACCCGATTTTTACGGACTACTACAGCAGATTTTTGAACTCCAATATGCAGGTCATTTTGGACTCAAAGTGATGATGTTCAGGTGTGATTGGTTTGATCCTACACCCATGCGAGGGATCAGAGTAAACAAAACAAGTGTTTTTGGACACCCATGCGAGGGATCAGAGTCAACAAAACAGGTGTTTTTGACATATGTTACACACGTCGATACGGAAAATATGATCCTTTTATATTGGCTTCTCAAGCAGATCAAGTGTGTTACATCCCTTATCCGAAGAAAATTACAAGAAGGTCAGACATTGATTGGCGAGCCGTCGTGAAGATCAACCCTAGGGGAACTATTATTCAAGAAGAAAATGATGAACAAATCCCGCTTCAAGATGTCGATCAAGGCATTCTTCAAATTGAAGACACGATTGAGGTTGGAAAGTTAATAGCCGAAGAAGGAGTAGTTGAAGAACTTGCAGACAATAATGACGAAGAGCAGGATAATACCGATGAGTTGGACGAAAAAACAACAGGAACTTCTGAATATGGTTCTTTTGATTAATAATAACTTTTTTTATATATAAAATACCGATTTGTATTACAAATATTGTACTCGAAATCAAAATATTAGTTATCGTAAATTTTTTGCATTTTATTTTTTTTAATTATTACATTATGTTGCGACCGAAATATCTGTCGCAACATTGTCGCAAAATGTCGGCAATAATCTGCCTCCCGCTTTTTTTTTCGTTGCGACAGCTGGCGACAGAATTAATCAGTCGCAATGTCCACGTGTCTCCCCCTTTAATGACACAGCGACAGATTGCGACAGAATAAATCGGTCGCAATGGTCTTAAAAACATCGCGAATCGTCTTCTTCCTCAGACACTTAGCCATTTCGACCGTTGCCCTCCCTTTTCGCCGCCGCTCCCTTCGCCGCCGCTCGTTCGCCGCCGCTCCTTCGCCGCCGCCAGGTAAGTTTCCGAACTCGCGTCTCCCCTCTTCTTCCCCTTTTCGATCGGTTTAGTTTAGGTTCGTGGCCCCATAACCGCGCCGTCGTCCCCCACCGACACCGCCGCATCACCGCCGCCGCTCCTTCGCCGTCACCGAGGTAAGTTTCCAATTTTTGCAGAAAAAATTTCCAATTGTTTCGATTTTTAGGTGATTTTGGTTCGGATTTAAGGTTGTGGACGAATTATTTTAGGGTTTAGAGTTAATTTTCGGGTATAGGGTTTAATTTAGGGTTTATTTCGGTATTAGGGTTTAATTTGGGGTTTAGGGTTTAGTTTGAGGTTTATTTAGGGTTTAGTGTTTGTTTAGGGTTATTTTAGGGTTTAGGGTTTATTTAGGATTTAGGGTGTAATTTGGGGTTTATTTAGGGTTTAGGGTTTAATTTGGGGTTTATTTAGGGTTTATGGTTTGTTTAGGGTTATTTTAGGGTTTACGGTTTAATTTGGGGTTTATTTAGGGTTTAGGGTTTAGGGTTTAGGGTTTAGGATTTAGGGATAGGGTTTAATTTAGGGTTTTCTTAGGTTTAGGGTTAATTAAGGGTTATTTTAGGGTTTAGGGTTTA